AGCCATAAAGGGCTGGTTTGTGTTTGGTTAGCGGTGCAGAGCGCCATGTGAAAAGCTTAATTTTGAATGTCCAGGGGGATTAAAACCAGGCAGGAGGCAGCAGAGAAGGAAGTGCATGTGTGTGTGTTGCCTTATCGTGAATTTGTGCATCTGGTGAGACAAGCAGGCTGAGGTCTCGGTCCTCAGTTAAAGACGGACATATGATTTCAATTAAGGTCCTCCACCTTTTTTCCCCCTCCTCCACCTCATCTGTCTTCACTCTCTGACCAAACTGCAGTTGTGGACCAAGGTATCGGAGCTGAAACTGCTGAAACTCTCCCATTAGAACTCTTCTTAATCAGAGTAACTTTTTTATTCAGGTTAATTAATAGATGAACTCAGTGCCTCTTGGCTTAAAAGCACCTCAGTTAAACTCCAAAATAAGTACATGCGGAGGTAAATGTGCATGCATAAAAACACAAATTCTCATTCCTTTCCTTTCTTTGCTCTTTTCTGTCTTTCTTTACGGCTTTCAATTCTCCTGGCCGGTCTTCCTGAACCATTAGCCACGCTTGATTACCAATGAAAAACAGGTCAGTGAAATCAGATGGTTGCCTGCATTTATGAGCACGCAGCGGTAGACAGTGCTGGTTCTCATAAATAGTTACAGCTATCAGTTTTAGTTCATTTCATCTCTGAGCCAGGAGGAAAGCAATGCAGGACTTGGGAGAAAACAAAAGTGTTGCAACTCCCAAGATTATTATTTCAAACTTGTTGAGTTTCTTGTTATTGCTGATTGAAGCTGCTCAAATTCATTTTAAACACTTATATCGGGAAAACAGCAGAAGGTCAGCAGGGAACTTGGGGTGATAAGGCCTTCGCAAGATTAATGTGGTTGTCACTTCAAGACAAAATCTCCATTAAGCCTATATGCAGTCCAGTCGTGAAATGAAAGAATAAATCTTTGTAATGAGACAGTTGGCTTATGGCTGATTTTTTTCATTTATTTTTTTGGTAATAAAAATAAACCAAGCCGCTATAGCGTTAGAGCAGCTTGAAAGCACTTGCAGGTCCTGAATGTTACTAAACGGGCATTTTTATAAGGCGAGCACCAGATGTGCTGCCTTATAAATCTACCATCCACCCGAAGCAAATATCTGCGGAACAGACGTGCATGGTGAGAGAGGAAAGAGGGTTGTGAGAAAAAAAAAAGAAAAAAGACAAAAGGAATGGTTGGGGAGGGGGGTTCACACCATCTCAGACGAGGGTGTGAGGGTGAAAATGGGTAACCATGTACTTGCTTCTGACTACAGGGAACAAGACTAAACGAGACTTTTTAAGGACACAGGTGTTCATTTTTGTGGAATATTGGACTCAACTGGGGCTGGGAAAGTGAAGCGAGATTTATCACGTTAAATTTGGCTACTTATTAGTGATATAAAAAAACAAACTTCATTTACTCAAGTACTGTATATAAGTAGAATTTGGACATCAATCAATATGTTTTTTTGTTTTGTTTTTTTTATTCAAGGTGATACTGATCATTAGTAATCAAGGGACCGAAAACCATTGTTTGGAACCGATTTGTGAAAATCTGGATGGAATAAAAAGAGAACTTTTCAACTTTCAGTGTTGATAGGCTCTTACTTGTGACATGTAACCAATTAGATTTGGACAGTACTGGAGACTATGGCGTGACTACAGATAGAGAGAGGCAGCTGCATCAGAGCCAAATTACCACATTTTTTGGATTCATTTACGTTATCTGGAATTGATTTTTAAAAAATAGCAATACTGATAATCTGAAAAATGCTAAATATTGCAAAATTTTCCAAGCTGGTAATCAGTCAATCGCTAATTTTGGTCGACTTTCATTGCTTCAAATATTTTCCACAGTATACTCACCTACAGTTCTTTTCTTCTTGACACAGATTGATACTATTAACAACAAATAAGTAAGTTGTGAGATTATTCTGCCCACAAGAGTATGAAGTACTCTACTTGCACTTAAATATATTACTTATATGCTGTTTGTGCAGAACCACTTCTTCTGGTTTTGGTCATTTTGATATCAAAACTTTCACTCAATGGAACACTAATAACAATACCAGCCTCACAATGAACAGTAAAAAGAACAATGCGGCAGAACCAGAGAAATCAACATTCCTGTCAAAACCTGGTGCCTACAGTACCCACAGTGCAACCTGACTCAAGTATAGACCATAGCCTCCAGCTGATGGCCTCAAGCAGAAATGAGGAACAGGCTTCAGAAATCTGGTAGCTTCACTTCTTTCTAAATCCACACTTACATGTGTAAAATCAGTTTCCCTTTAAGTAAGTTTTGTAACCCAGTATTTCTGCACCACAGTAGAGCTAAAAGATCAGAGCACTTCTTCCACCGCGTCTATTGCTTTGTCCTTTGGGTTCTCCCTTTTATTTCTGTTAAACTGTCTGGTCTGTTTGGCTTCCTCTTCCCAGAAGTGAAGGAAAAAGAGTATCATGTGTTGCTCAGATTGCTCATCTGTGACAAATTTGTAATCAGGAAGCTGTACAAGTACAAGTTTACTGCTTTCACTCCCCTTTTCTCCCTTTTAAATGTATCTCTGCATATGCTAACGTGTGATTACCTGTCCTTCCCATGTCCTGTTTGTACAGATTAGTGCCATAAACGTAATGTCTTTACAGTCGTGCCGCTGCAGGAGCCTGTAACGTAATACACTCTCAGGGATTTTCCTCCACTTGCTTCCCTTTATTCTCAGGCATGAATGAGCTCGCCTGCTGGTGATACACTTATTGTTCTGATTGTTATCTGCAGATTTAGCCCTCGTCTAAATATGACAAGTGAATAATGGAGACTAGACAGACATGTAGGGACAGTGATTTGTTCTCAAGAGCTTCACTCTTTTCAGTTCTGGGCGATTCTCCGAAAACTGAATGATCGAGAATCAGGAGGTGAAATAAAGGGGCATTTTAAAGGAAGCAAGCAGTGAAACATCTCATGTGGACTTAAAATGCATTTACAAATGACAAAGAATGTCCTTCTATAGTCTCTTACCACATTTTCAGTTGGCCTCATCCCATAATTTGGACAGAAGAAGTAACAAATGGGCACCAATATATCGATGTTATGAATAGGACTATTTCAAATGAAATTTTGTTTTAATTTACAACTTGAGTCCCCTGACAATCTTCACAGTCCCCCCCTTTTTTTTTTTTTAAAGTAAATCATTACTCCCTGCAAATTCGGGATGTTTTACAAAACGCGGAGGTCGAGGGAAACTTTCATTAAATTCCCATGAAGTCCACCATCTGTGCAAATAGGGCTAAAGATAACGAGTGGAATCTGGTTTGGCCCGTTTGGCTCTGTGGTGGGAATCAGGCTTCAGCCTGTCTGGTTTACTTGGGGAGGGAGCCGCAGAGAGCTGGGTGTTTCTGACATCCTGCCCAAACAGGGTTTGGCTCTTGGGGTGAAATTGCATGGAGCTGCTCACTCTCCTGCCTGCCTCTTTCTCTCTTTCAACATTCACCATCTATTGCTATCTGATAGCATTTTGGGTGTTTCTGAAGTCATCCATCTTTATTGTGCAAGGTTTCGGGGGAAGCGAGTAGGAAGAGGTGGTTTTGAATTTCTTGAAAGTCATCCGTCTCGATGTCAGGAGGCAGCGCTATGACAGAGCGCTTTTCCTAAATTCAAGATGTGGGCTTGTTGGTGAAGAGGAGAGGAGGTCCGGCACGCGGAAAAGTGCTGATTACAAACGCCTCTGTGCAAGTGTGTATTGGTGCGTGTGTGTGTGTGGTCCAGACGAGGGCCGAGGACAGGATGACATCCAGCAGACCCATCTGTTGAAATGACAGGGGTCCTGTCTTGAGAGGCGGTGAAACCTCCACCACCTGTGGCTGAGGCGCTTCAAACTGGCTAAAAACACACAACCACACACATGCGTGCACACACACTCATTCCAGTGGCTCACAGTTACAACAGTCTGACTGTCTCCCATCCTCTGCTGCGTTGCTTAACTTGTAAACAAGTCACTCCATCCCAGCTGAAATGTTTATAGTCTGGAGTTATGATAATGTGCAGCCCCATTTGGTGAGTCAAAGCTGCTGGCTATCTCTGAAATTCAAAGCACTAAAGCACTATCAGAAACGGTGACATCATCCCAAGCACTGCAATAAAACTTTATCTGTAAAGTTCAGCCTCTGAGAGAGATGAATCCGGCCTGCAGCGAGCGTTATCGCTGAAGTGGCTCGATGTATTCACTGTGCAAATGCATGAGAGGGCGTTGACCCCGGCATAAACACGCTCACTGAGCATACGCTGGTGTAATTGTAGGTGTCTGTGCGTCTGTCCCGCATTAGTCCAGCATATCCTCCTAAACAGCTCCAGCCGAGCAGCTATGTGGCACGAATTCTTCTCAAAAGTCGGCTACAGCACGTCAGAAAGATAATCATTTAATCACTAGCAGTATGTGAGCTCTGTCAGCATCCATAAACTCTTCATTTCATACAGAAAGTAGCCAGGAAAAAAAAAATACACACACATTTGTTCGATATTTACATCACACAAGTTAGTTTGTTTTGACAGAAACATCTGCAGAAAATCTAAATGCAAGCTCCCTCTTAATAAGACTTCATATTAGAGATGAAAAGCAGAAATGAGGTGGAAAAAACTTTTTTTTTTTTCTCACAAACCTCACTGCTGCGAAGCCTCATTTGGGACAGCTGCTCCTTTTTTTTTTTTTTACTTCTGAAGAATTGTGGTTTTCTTGTCAGGGCACCACCAGGCTTGTTTTCTCATTCATGTTCCCTTTTTACTCTCATTTCCTGAACCGAAACATAATGATGCATTCCGTAATAGGTCTATTACCCATTTTTCTTCCTTGTTAGATTAGCAATTCCTCCTCTAAATCCCATTTTCTCTGTAATTACATACATTTGCAACCATTAGAATCGGGTATTTTCCTGTCTTTACATGTCCCCTGTTTTTTTAAATGTGTTTCTTCCTTCCCTCTTTTATTTAGAATTTCCGTCCCATCACCAGTGGATATGGCGGTTACAGCCGTAAACCTTCGTACACCCCTGAGCCTCAGTCTCCTCAGCCCACTCCGCAGCCCACTCACCTAAACAACGGACACTCCAGACCCAGCAGCAGCAGCAACAACAACAACAACGGCCACAGCTACGGATACGGGAACGGAACCGGGCACGCTCAGTACAACAACCCGGCAGGCCTTTATGCCCAAAATGGCAGCAACGGAGACAGATCACTGCCAAGCAAGATGGGAGGTCTCAGCCTCAGTGCCACACACAGGTGAGACAATCAAAGTGTTGTGCAACATAAACAAAATACAAATCCAATTTATGGTTTTCACAGGATTAGTAGATTAGTCAAGAATAGGCCTTATTGTTTTCTGATTTCTCTCTCGTCCAAAAGGAAATCTGGAGATGGTATCAGTGTTTATATTGATTATTACAAAATCCACTAAAACAGTACAAATTACATTTACAAAATACAATTTGGTGCTCATCTTATTACTTTTTTGCTTTTCTTTTACTTACTTAAGGACTCAACATCAATAAATGCAGTTAAATGTAGTAACTATTGAGGCATATCAACTTTCAAAATATCCCTCCGTGAGTTTTCCCAGCTTCACTGCACACTACCGCAGTGAGAAAATCACACAAGGAAGTTGCAGTAAGCCTCCAGTGGCTGCCTCTAAAATCCATCAGTCATCTTATTGTTAAGGGCGCAGCAGGTATAGGATAGACCAGCAGTATATTATAATGCTTACATGCTTGCGTAAATGTGCTGAGGACACGCTTAACAGATGCACACACACTTTTCTTGACACACCTGCACGGATAGAAATGTGGACTGGAAAAGCCATTTGTTGTTGTGCATCCCCTCAAGCGGGCAATAAATGTGTGTTTAGTCTCCCAGTGAACATCCTCTCCAGCACTTCCCAGGACTAGACTGTTAATCCTTACAAGGCCCACACACACACACACACACACGGGCAAAGACATAGTTAAACACCATTTTTACACCATCCATTGCCGGCTGTCACTAACTGTCTCTACACATTTCTGCTGTACCTCCCTGACTCTCACTCAGCCTCACTCTCACTACAACACAGGCTTTTCTCTCTCTCATATACACACACACACTCCTGGAGGGGAGTCTGGAGACAAACATGCAGTTAAGTGTGTCAGGATTTGCACACATCTGTCAGCAGCCCAGCTCGTCTCCCACAAGCTTGAATGTTTAAAACGGATCAAATGAAGGGGATCCATCCTGCAAGGTTTGGGAATAACTTGATGGATGGGTGAACATGCAAAGCTGTTGTGATTAAGACTTCATGCCTGCATGTAGCGTGTAAAGTATACTGTTTTCTCCCCCTCTGTGCATCAATCTCTGCTGTTTTAGTAAAAAATAGAAATGCACTCAACATTTAAGCATCTGTTTAAAGGATGCTTTAGATGGTCTGTATTTTGTTTTTGCAGCTGCTTTCCTATAGAGTTTTGGTTCCTTTGGTAGCCCAGCTATAGTCATCTGTTCCTTTTATCTGTTTCTTTAGGATGCTTTGGGTCCTTTCATTCCTCCTATGGTTGCAAAACAACATCATGACACCAGCTGTTAAAAGAGAAAATAAGGTCAAAATGCGAATGTTGCACACTAACTTGTTTCTTGGAGAAAGGATCGTTTAGGAGTGGCTTTTTGCTGTCTTGACTGACGAAAATGTGTGTTTTTCATCACCTGCCCTCCAGTCACCATCAATCAGATCGCACTGCAATAAGCTTAAACTGAATATTGCTTCAATTTTCTCCCTCAGCCCAGAGCCTCCCATGCACTCCCCCGTGAGCCGTAATGGTTTCGACACACAGTCGGACGTCTACAAGATGCTGCAGGACTACGAGGAGCCCGTCTCTGAACCCAAACAGTCTGGCTCCTTCAAATACCTCCAGGGAATCCTGGAGGCCGAGGATGGAGGTAGGGATTTATGTGTTTATGTGCATGTGTGTGGTAGAGGTTTTAAAAACAAAGTATGTGGAAGTGCATTTGGAGAGATGACACATTTTACTGCTGTGGTGTCATAGTTTACAGTGGTTGACTTGATTGTGGAAGTAGACAGTGACACAGCCGTAGCTACGGGACTGCAACTAATTGTTACTTTCTTGATTAAATATTTTACATTCAAGACAGAGTGAAAAACAGCCTTAAAGTAGAAGTTGATGAATTAAGTTCAAAGCACAAAAATGCAGTATTTATTATGAACTAGAAGGCTTGAAAACCAGCAGATATTCTCATTTTAGAAGGAAAAATATTCCTTAAAAATGGATTAACTGATTATTAAGTAGCTTTCTAGAAACTGACTTATTGTATTAGCTCTGCACCTTATTTTTTAACCATGCAAGGTGAACACATCAAACTAGGCAAGAAAAACTGAGAGAAAAGTACCTCAGCAAATGACCAACCACAACTGTATTTATGTTTCCAGCAATGACACAATATCAGCTATTGTGATGCACTTGGCTGCTCCGAGTATACAGCAGGTATAAAGCAAGCATCTGGTTATGCCCATGTGCAATTATCATGGACTTTTGTACAATATCAAGTTCGCTGCATATGTAAACGGTGGAAATTTCTGAGTAAATATTCCCTCTTATGCAGATGAGGCTCGTGATTCGAGCCAAAGGAACATCTTGCTCAGGCAGCCGCTCTCTGCCTGTTGTGAGCTCCTCTGTCTAAGTGGCATAGTTTTCCTTTTATAGAAAAAACACAGACAGCAAGGTTAGGGGACAGATAGGAGCCGAATGAAAGAGAAAGAGAAAGGGAGGGAGGGAGACAGAAAGAGAGAAAAACAGAGACAAAGGAAGCAGCAGGAAGATGAAGGGCTTTAAATAGCTCGCATACGGATGAACAGGGGAGGGAAGTTTTGGTAAGGCAATTTACTGCAAAAACAACTTCACAGAGGACAATAAAGTGAGAAATATGGTTTTCCTGTCTGCCTCTTGACCGCTCGGCATTCCAGCTTTTGAAGGAGGAGTCATGTGATGCTGACGGCAGCAGAGGAAGGCTAATCCCTGGAACTAAAACCTTCTCTACAGGTTCTGTGTTTACCACCAGAGCAGGGCAAAAGTTGAGAAAGTGCTAATTACAAGTCGAGGGTTAGTGAGTTTAAAGGGAAACAGTGTGGACCAAAGTGAAGTGGACTTACGACCTGTGAACGCAAATCGTCAGTGATTAATGTCTTTCTTAACCTCAGCCACTGACACCGAGGCGTCCTTGAGAAACGGCCTTTAACCCTAGATACAATTACTGGAGTTTTCCCAGCTGGGGATGCAGGAATCTGCAGTGTTGAAGTCACCATTTATGGCTTTTCATTGATAAATAAATGCAGTATATGAATGTTTCCTTGTAGTTATCTGCAGAACTCCTAATTCCCACTCAGATAGGAGAAGCCATACCCATCCAAAGTTTTACTCTGAAAGGGTTTACAGCTCTGCTTTTGATTGTTATTGGTTTTGGTACAGGTTGTTTTATTGCTATGCTATTTTTTGTAATTTGGAATTTTTGCAGCAAAACAGCAAGAACTTGTAGTTAAAATATCCTCCATATTTCATGCAATTCATAACATGCAAGCTGCAACTATGAGCATGAGATTGCATTCTCTTGCGTTATTTGTCACACTTTTAACTCTGCAAAACAAACACTAGTTTTGCAATCTGTGCATGTTCACGATAAGACAAAAAAAAGTTTATGTGGCTTACAACATACAAAACCAAAACTACTTCAACACTGTCAACAAAATAAATCAATGCCACGACTCTGCAACCCAGAATGTTAACACCCATGAGATATTCTGGATCCTACACCCTTTTTTTCTGGCTTATGTCATTGTTAATACAGTTTTTCTATCAGAGCTTATTATTTTGGAGGGATTTGGACGAATATATTTGTCTATTTAAAGAAACAGATAGTCAAATCTGAGCCTTCAGAACATATAATGAAGCCATTAAACGGAAAAGGCTTAGTTTCTCTTATCGCTGATTTTCGTTTCCTGTAAAATATTATTATTATTCTTCGTTATCGCATCTCCTGCTCTGCGTTTGATGTGCTGACAGGATAATTCACAGCGCGAGGAACAATGCAAACTGCTCCTGCAGCGAGGGCTGGAGCGGAGCCAAACCAGACTGTTTCCTTAATTCATCACTTCTTATAACACTCAAAGCAATAAGAAAGAAAGCAAGAGAGTTACAGAAAGGGGACACCAGCTAATGACAGATGAAGGAGGTCGGAAGGAGAGAGAATGTAACACTGCTGATGGATTATAGAGATTAGAAGGGACCTCTGTTGTCCGCTGCCAGTTGTCTTTCAGTTTGGGAGACTGACAAGTTGACTGACAGGTTAAGCCCTCGATGAAACACACAGACACCACAAGTTTACATTTGGATCCTTTCAAAAGCTACCTGTCTCTTTGTTGGTGTTTGAAGGTGTCATTCAATCTGTGTGAGAGTGGGAAACCCTGCCACAGATGTTGCTCGTGTCCTTACCTTCGTTTCTGTGTGCTAATGGCTCCATAAAAAAAGTCAAATGAACACGTTTGACACTCAGGTTAAAGTCAAATCATCCTGCTTTCCAATGCATGCCTCACTGTCAGACTTTTAAATCACCGCAGTTGGTCCCTTTTTGAAGGCGCAAGCCCCCGTAGAGGCCATGTTGACTTTCAGGGGCTTTTAAAGTTAAAGCAAACAAGAGTGTCAGTTTACCCAGAATTCCACAGGCTCGACCGCGATTGGAGAGCGATGTGGATGGAAGACGGGTGGAGTGACTGTTAAACAGGGTGTTTGAGGCGCTATTACACCAACATTACGCTTCATTTTCCAACCAGAGGAGTTTCTTTTTAAAGCATGGCAGCATTAAAACACAGAAACATGAAACAAGGAAGCGTTAAAACAAGCAAAACAGCAACGGGCAGAATTAAAGAAAAACTAATTAAATGCTGCTTCTTGTACATGAATTAAAACTTCAACCTGCTGCATGTCATTTTTGAAAATCTGAATCTCTGACCGTAAGGAAGAATGGTGTGGATTTTATATGGTGGATTTTGCTTACTGTCCAATCTGTTCACTTTAAAATTTTAGGTATACGGACGTTAAAGTATCACTCAGTTAAATTCTAGCAAATATTCCTTTACACATCAGCAGAACTGTTTCTGTATGTTTTAAAGAAATGCACAATCGAAGAAGGTTTATTATTGAATGTAAAGACTTAGGTTACTTTGTTGCAGATGAGATTTCATGATTTTTACCTTAAATAATGACATTTTGATGGAAAATTTAGGGGGAAAAATAGCCAGAGGATGACATGATGAAAAAGAAGAAAAAAAAGAAGAAATAAACACAATGTCAGCGACCTCTGTAAAACCTCTCTCCTCTCTCTGGACTATAATGTAATTTGTTTGGAGAAATGTCTCAAGTATGCATAATTTGTTCTGTACATTAAGTCCTACATTGCAAAACCCAGTTTCACGCTGTGTACTTCTTCAGAAGTGACATCTGTAAATGAGGAAATCCATCAGCAGGCCAGTGTTTAAATTTTAAAGTATAACACTTGTCCAGTTATTGATTGCTTCCTAGATTATAGCAACAATACTTGAAATGATGGTACTTCAGAAATCGTATGGGAAGTTTAATAGCTCTAAACCAAATGACTAAAACACCACATTGGTCATGTTTTCATGAAAGAGAGAGCGCAGGAGCAAGACAGAGATGAAAAGACACAAGATTTAAAGGCCAGACAAGATTTCTAGTCCTGTGGGGGTAAATGTGATTCCAGTGGTGAGGAGGGAAACTCTCTGACATCTGTTGGAGCATTTCTTCTGTGCAAAACCAAAGGACCACAACCAATGTTTAGTATAGTTTTTATTTAATAATCATTTGCTTTTGGAATTTCTGTAAAAAAAATAATTATGGGAACCCTAAATAGCTCTATTTGTCTGGACAATGATCAAAACACCTTTGAGTTTATGATATAAAAGATATGATATAAAAAAACAAATACTTAATTTCAGAAAAAAATAATTGGTGTTACTTCATGATAATTCATTGATTACGTTTCTGCCAGTTGACTGTCATTGTAGCACTTGCTGCTATAGTTTCCAATAGCTTTCTTTATGCCTAGGTCACGTTTTCTGTTGAATGCATTGCCTCAGATATTAAAAACACATTTTTTTGTCTCATAATATTCCACAATAGTTGTCTACAATGACATCAGGATTCCCTTTGCCATAGATTCTGTGAGGCTTCACACTTGACAGAATGCAGGTCAACAGTATGTGTGTGTGTGTGTGTGTGTGTCTGTTGCTGTTAGTCACAGTGTAGGACACACACATTGTGCTGTGAAAGTTGCAAGGGGTGTGGATGTGTGTGCAAGCGGCCAACTTGTCGCTGTTTGTGAAATAATCCAATGTGTCAGTCAGCTTTAAGTGGTGAAATATAAAGAGCTTATTTGGTATGACTATATAAAAACCCAGAGTGTCGTTGACACTAAACAGACGTTCATTCATTCAACTTTCTGTACTTTATTCTGACTGTCGTCAGTATTAGTCAACCTACCCCTACGTTAAAAAGTCACAAGAGTGTTGCATGTAAAAGGTTTTCCATTAGAGTTCATTATTAGCTAATAGAGACATTAATCTCAGAAATAACATGCCTAGCTAATGTCACCACGGAGCAGTCAGAGGCTAACTGCTGCTGAAGGGTAAGAAGGGCTTTGAGGCAGGGGCCAGATGCAAAGTAATTAAACTGTGGTTGGAGGCAGTGATAGGTGGCCTGTTGGCCTCAATGGCCTCTGCTGGCATATCATCAGTAAAGGAAAGGCATATAGTGCAGTTCCTGGCTGCATTCCACTGATTTATCCCGCTGCATTTGGAACCACTGGAGTGGCTCCAGATATCCAGTATAAAATATGCTGCTTTCATGTATTCCAGTCAGGCATAACTAAGGACTAGATGGTCTGAGCTGATCCCTCCTCATAGAAAAATGCCATCCATGGGAAGGCAGTAACCCACATCTCCCACCATCATGTTAACAGCCTGCATCACTTTTCATAAACAGTCATTGTGAAAGTGCAACAGCATTAAACTGTGTTTGCCAAAAAAAAAAAAAAAGGGGGGGGGGCATTTGAGCAGAACATGTTTCTAACTGTAATTGACAGGTAGAGTGCCAGGACTGTCATCCCACTTGTGCTCTTCACATGCATCATGTGATTGTCGCGTATCGGTGTGACGGTTAAATCTGGACTCGATAGCGTGGGATGTTTTCCCTACCTGGCATCTTGACAGGTTGACTGATGAATTCCTACGGGGAAATGCCACCACAGAATGTGACATTTGAATGGAGTACACAGGAAGGTGCCAGAGACACAGCGGGGGAAGGTGTGCGAGAGAGAAAGGAAAAAGAGAAATTGTGATGTCAAAAAACAAAGAGGGGAAAGTAGAGGTTTACACAGACATTTTATTCTTTGGTGAAAATGACACTCAGGGATGCCTTGTTTAGCATATTCACATCAAGGAATCATTAATAAATTGATGGGGAAAAAAACACAATAAATACTGCTGGTTTGTTTTGGCCTCTGCCGGGTTTGAAGTTCACCACATCTGAAGACAAATCAGAAACTTCTACAAAATAATCACATCTAGAAAGATGCAGTGGGACATTGAGGAAGGGGAAAAGTGGCAGCATCCTGTTTGTGAAAGCAAGCGGCTCGACAATGATAAATGTGACCTCAGCTTTCAGAAACATAAACATGGCCGAGATGATTAAGATTTACCACAGTTTTCTTAAGCATGACAGAGCATTGAAATCCTTATTGTAGATAACAGCAACAAAAAAATGTCAAGATTGCTATTATTAGTGCTGCTTTTGCTAGATGCTGATAGTCGTAGCTGTTGTGCTTGAGATGGTTGCATTCAGTCTCTTAGGTGGTTGTTATTAAGCAGGTGCTCTAAAAAGCAGCTTAGTGCTCCAGCATGCTGGTCAAAATAGAAGGAGCATCTGTCAGCGTGACACAGTACATTTATCACATGTGCTGTCAACACTGGTTGTCCTCAGTGAGCTGCATGCTTGGATTTGTCACAATGTGCCAGAAGCAATCAAGCAAAAAACTAACAGGAGATGGATAGCAATATGGTAGATAACAGTAGCTGCCTAGAAACCACATCAATTACTAGGAACTGGACCTCTTATCTATACCTCTACCACGCCCTTGTGACAATAAGTAAACATACATCTGTGCAGTAGGTGAGAAAGAGCAGAAAGAGCTCTGTATTTAAGGGCAAAATGGGAACAATATTCCATCTTTGTATCATTTACCAGCCTATTACAGCCTTGACAGCCGACACGTTCTGGTCTTACTACCTGTAACTCAGAGGGAATTTCCTGCAGGGTGCAAAAACGCACAAATGCACGCTCTCATGAACCTGTTAGCCTTTTTCCCCCTTAAGTCACCATATCAACACGAACTGGAATTTACTGGCCCTAGGACACATACACAGAAACACGCACACGTACATTAAAAAAAATGGTTAACAGGGGCCCACAGAGGAGGTGTTCGTGTTGTGTCAGTGCCTCCAATTCTGGGAGCGCATTGTGCTTTTATAGTTTGGCTTGTTTTTAGGGCGTCTGGCCCCTCAAAAGTTTACAGTGCAGTTTCCAAAGATCCTTTATTTATTCTGTTTTCTTATTCACAGGTGTGTCACCGACAGAGAGGATTAGGAACTTAAAGTCTCCGGTCAGATCTCCGATCCCCAAGCTGGGAAGCCCCATCCCCAGCCCCAGCATGCCCGGTCTTCAGAAGCTCCCCCAGTGCACACGCTGCTGTAATGGCATTGTGTAAGTATTTAACACATTCTTGTTAAGTTAATACAAAGAGGTCAATAACGCAAGTAAGTAATTGAGTCATATGTGACCAGAGACTGCTGTAAAAAGCCTGTAATGCAAATTTGTGTGGTGTAATTGTTAAAAGCAATATTTAAAAGTTGTTTTTTCATTTGAACTCGGAGACATAATGTTGTTTCTTTAATTTAAGGTAGTAGGTACCACAGCATTAAACCTCTAACTTATAACGCATGGTTCCTCTGATCTAAAATTATAGTCTGAGGAAGATAAAGTAAAGACACAGTAAGTGTGATCCTGGAGGTGTGAATGATTTGCTGTTAAAATACTTTGGAACTGCATCTGGAAATTATATTTCTCCCCCTATTTTATCACTCTGTCTCTGATCATAAAGTTTAAGAGGTGAACTACGTGAGGTGAGTCAAGGTTCTGTGAAACAAAAAGGTTAACTCACACAGGTCGACCTGCACCAACAGGCCTTTTATAAGCACTCACAAAACTGATCCCATTTGTCATTTTAATGATTAAACCAAACCACCCTCCGCTCCCTTTCCCATGTATACACACTCCATGAACATATTCTGACCTGCACACAGGTGCATGAACTTGCACACACACACACACACACCTTTTGCCAGAGTAGCCACATGCACCGGTAATCCCCCCTCTATAAAAGCAGCTGCAGGTAAGCAGTGATGTCACTTTGTTAACAAGAGAGCATTGTGGGAGCTGGCACAGCATAGTAAGCCGGCTATGACCTAAGAACATTTTACAGCTTTTTCAAACATGTATGGAGCACTGTGTCACGAGTTTATCCTCCGAGTGCTGTGGTTACACTGGGAAAGCGGTTAAAAAAAGAAGCGGGCTTATGACTGAGTGGTCGCTGGCCCAAGTCCCCAGTCCAGAAAGGAAAATCTAATTGGGAACAGTGAATGAACAGTGAACGCCCTGAACAACTGCTGTCACTGTGCAACTAAAGTCCTACATTCAGTGGTGCTGATCAGTAGCCAGCCAGCAAATTAAATACGTGCTATTTAGCTGAATGCTTGTGATCTTCCTACCACCTGAAACTCCTCTCAGGATGTTTGCTTTAGAAAATGTCGCTGATATATGACACATGATGAGATATATTCACATGCTTGCAGAGTCACAGTGTTGATTTGCATAGATAATGGAAAGTCCAATAAAAAACAGTCATTAGCAATTCATCATCACTCACTTTCCTTTTAAGTGCCCTGCTTGACATTCTGTAATTTGCAATGATGGCACCTCCCTGACACTTGCTTTCTAAGTCAGTCAGCCTTATAAGGCAATTTGCATTTTACGATTTTCTTATCGTTGCAACATTTTCCAGTCAAGCATTCACCCGTTCTTGTTCCTCTCGATAGCACAAGCCTATGATGTTTCACTCTCTCCTCATACTTTAGAAGGACATTTTCTTCTTGCACGCTGCTAATAAAAAGACTACAAAGATTTAAAGCCAGGGTTCAGGAGAACATATGACCAAAAGAAACCACAAGAAGAGGAAATAAAAGTCACAAAACAAAATCTGCACCCTAAGTACTCTGTTTAAGGGGGCTGTACTGTCTGAGGGGAAGTTGGAATAAAAAGACTGACAGTTCATGGAAGATTTTCAAGTGGAAGGTTAGTTTTCAGTCACCAAGGAGCAATGTTTTAGACACTAAATGGTTGAAACCAAGGGAGTGCACTGGATATTTGAGTTGGTTAATGCTTGGTCTGTAGCTTGTGAGCAATGCCAAATAAAACTAGGATAAAAGTGGAAAAGGCAAAAAAAAAAAAAAAAAAGGAACACGTTGCATATAACATTACTGGACTGACCTGCACTCACATCAAAACATCTGTCTGTTTCATGAATCTTTCTTTCTATTGCTTTTTTTTATTATTTTGCCGTGTCTCCAGGATTTCTACATTTGTTGCATTCATTTTCCATAATTTTAAGTTTAACCTTCCTTTCATCTATCCATCCAGTGGCACCATTGTGAAGGCCAGGGACAAGCTCTATCACCCCGAGTGCTTCGTGTGCGACGACTGCGGCGTCAACCTCAAGCAGAGAGGCTACTTCTTTATCGAGGACAATCTGTACTGTGAGACCCACGCTAAGGCTCGCGTCCAACCCCCAGAGGGCTACGATGTAGTCGCCGTGTACCCCAACTCCAAGGTGGAGTTGGTCTGAGACGAAGAGGCTGGTCATTCTGTAATATAACTGGGAAACTAAGATATGGTAGAAATGGGGCTGCTGAGTATCCTCACCTGCACTGATCAGGCTCTGTCAAACCGGACTGCTGATCTTGGGTCAGCTTTGCCTTTGGGAGAATGCGCTATGAGAATTGTGTTTCTGTGATCCCAGATCAGTACTTCCACGCTGGCAGGCTTGATAAATGCTTTGTATATTGAGCAGATTGGAATATGTTGACAGAATAAGGCTGACGAATATCCCAAAACTCTAATCCATGAAAAAGCTCACACTGTTTCCCAATCTGACCTCCCTCATCTCTCAACCAGTGTGTTTAAATTCAATTCAAGATCCAGGATAGCATGCATATGCACATTCACCGCTATGTTGTGTAGCAACAGAATATTCCACAAAGACTGAATGAGACGCTTAGTTAAAATGACTACTCTGGCCATCTCTAACAATCAGTTTACCAACATGTCTAATGTCCTACTCAAGCCTTACAAATAACTTTCAGACACCAGTGTGTGTTATGTGCATTGTGACGAGAGATTTTTGAGTTGATTTGGTGTGTTTGCTGTGATGAACTGTGCAGAGAAGTTGGTTTTATTTTCAAACTAATTTTGGATTTTGCGATTTTTAACAGCAGTTTCCCCACATAACACAAAATGTCACCCTTCATTCTATAATGCCACGTGAGGTGTAGTGATATATTTTTTTAAGTCTTGGTTAAGGGCTGAAGTGTCTTTTCTTAACAACTTTACAGTTAAACGTTATACTCATCTTCTAGTTTACATGTACACCGTTTCATTTTCAGACTTTTTATGTTACAAAACTGGGAAACAGCTCTCTTTCAATCTCACTGTTTCTGCTCACTTTTCAGTTATGTGAAACAATAAGCAATAATTCACTACAGGCAGATTTCTAGCAGGTATAATTGTAAGTATCTGGAATGTGTGCCATTTGGTGACTGTTTACTGAACTATAACCTATAGTAAATGCCTCCCTATGCAGCTATGCAAGCACCACCTCCTCAAATGTAAACAAATCCCTGCAGGAGACGTCCTCAGAGCTCTGTGAGAAACTCTAGAACTCTGTGAGAGTCGGCCTAAAAGAGTTTCTCCCACGTGTGATCGCAGCAACCTCGATCTATAAACACTTACCAGCAAGAAATGAGTCTTTAATGATTGAGCAGCTTAGCTTAATGCAGCGTATGAATGCAATGACGGCATTTTGAACAGCCGCAGCACACGGAAGATCGTAGCTGTGGGTGCTTCTGGCTCATGCACCTGACTGAGAGAGGAATTTCAACTCTCACACTGAAGAATTTCTTCTCATAAAAAATAAAAACCCAGGAGCACAGAGTTCAGTGAAAACTCTCAAGGTTGACATCAATATGCTCTCCACCTCTCGTGATAGCTGTTAAAAATGGCAGTGTGCATTTGAGACAGGACACACGGCCATAGAAAACTGTTAGAAACTTCTAAACCGGGACTCTACAGCCTGCAACATGTGGGAGTAATACTGATTTGGTTTCGTTTTTTTGGACCCACTACATAGATACATTACACTTCTTCTTTGGAAGACAGAAAAAGACAAGAAGTGCGCATAGTTGTATTCCCTTCCTACTATGAATTCAGATTTCTGGTTGCAGTCGAGCCCATGGAGCAAATGAAATATATTTCTACATTTCCTCAGAGAGAAGGGGGAGGGAGCAAGAAGGGGTGAGAAAGAGAAACGAGGCACGTATTTTCTTTTTCTTGACAGAAAAATCTTTCTGTAAGACGTATGTCATTATGTAGCCATCAGTCTTAGCTTGTTGTGAATTGTGGAGCGCGAACTGAGTGGAGAAGAGTGATGATGTTCTTAATTTTTAGAAATATTTCTAACAGAACTGCTTTTGTAGTTTGAAATGAGAAAGATTTTTTGATTTTGTTTTGCAGTGCTGAAATCAACCTTTTTTTTCCCCCCAAGATATCAACAGTGATGTGCAGCTGCTGATATGCCATCTATCTTAGTGATCTTGTAAATTATGTGAAAATTGCTACCACATTGTCTCTTTGGTATTGTACATATTTGTTTCATTGTGATTGCTTTAACAAACCGTATATAACATGTCACTCACGTGCCTTTGCATACCCTGTGTCTTTTAAATGATTTCTTTGACACAAAATTCTCTTCTTGTATTTAACTTATTGTTCTACCAGCACATGTTTTTGCTCTGGGTCTTCTTATTTGCTCTTTTATTTTCTAGGTTCTAAATAAAATGAGAAAGTGCATTGCCATGACACAGATTGTTCAAATTCTTCGTTGGTCGTAACTGCAGGATTTCCCCACAAAAATTTTCTAAAACACAAGGGACTCAATTTGTCTTAGTTTTACACCCTGGTTCTGACATGCCACTTTCTCCACACCGCACACTTTAAGACCACCAGACTGCAAAATGTGTGTCTTGTAACCAAACCCCGCAGACATACAAATCACAGAGGCCTTAAATCTCATTATAAAATTGAGCAACAGCATGCCTTGTTATAGAATAGTTAATCCTACTTTTAAAAGTGGCTTTCTCAAACACATCTTTCATTGTTGTAAGAGTAGTCATTTCTTAACTGTGGAGTCTTGGACAAGTTAAATCAGACTAATTTTAACCGCATATTTTCGCCATTATTTATGAGTTTATGTGCAGACAGTAATGGCCTGGTGATGAATTGGAGTAGTAAAACGAGACAAAACTAAATGGCTAAAGAACGTGGAAAGACTTGGAGGAAAGAGTGCATGTTTTTCTTTGCTCGTTCAGGGCAAGGGTGAGCTACAGTCGTGAAAAGATCACTGCATTTTCTTTCTTTGTACAACAGTTGCTATAAAAACGTATTCAGTCTGACTGGAACTGAATAGATTTTTCCAGTCATTAAGTAATTGTCCAGTTAGTGGTTCCTCTAGGTCTCCGTGAAATGCTGCAGTTGACAGAAACAGTCAACCAAATCATCAAAACCACTGACAGGTGACATGAATATATTGATTATGTCATTACAATGGCAAGAGGTGGGATATGTCTGGCAGCAAGTGAACAATCAGTTCTTAAAGTCGATGTGTTGGAAGAAGGAAAAAAATGGAAATCGGAAGGATCAGAGGCCAAAATGTGATGGCTAGACAACTGGGTCAGAGGATTCCTGGTATGCAGTGGTTAGTACATGGGCAACCAGCAACAGCATCATGGGCGCCCAAGGCTCATGATGCCCGTGGTGATGAAGATTGACCTTTGTGGTCCTGGCCCACAGAAGAGTCACTGTAGCACAACTTGCTGACTATGAAAGCAGTTTGATGCATATAGAGTTGCCTTAGCAGCATATTCATGCTCACCCATTCACCATTAAAAGCACTTACAATGGGCACATGAGTGTCAGAAGTAGACCTTGGAGCAACATCAGAAGATGGCAAAGTGATGAATCTCATTGTCTTCTATATCATGTGGATAGCTTGGTGCTTGTGCTTAGTTTACCTGAGGAAGAGATGGCAGCAGAATGCATAATATTGGAAGAAGACAAGCTGGCAGAGGAAGTGTGATGCTCTGGGAAATGTTCTATTGGAAAACCTTGGGTTGGTATTCAAGTGGATGTACCAAAACTTTGTTGCAGACTGTGTACACTCTATTCTCTGAAGGCTTCTTTCAGTACCCTGTCATACTGCAAAAAAAAAAATGGTTGGATACGATTTGAGGAACATGACAAAAAGTTCAAGGTGTTGATTTAACCTCAAAATTCCCCAGAGCTTAGGCCCATTTGGTGACTGAGGGAAGTGCTGGAAAAACAAGCCCAATCCATGGAGGCGCCAAGTCGAGGACTTAACAGATCAGCTGCTGATGTCTTGGTGTCTGATACCCCAGGACACCTTCAAAGGTCTTTTGGAGTCTGTACCTTGATGGATCATGACTGTTCTGGTGCCATTTTGAGGCCCTACACCAGGGGTCTCGAACTCCGGTCCTCGAGGGCCGCAATCCTGCAAGTTTTAGATGTTTCCTTCTTCCAACACACCTGATTCAAATGATCAGCTCATCATCAAGCTCTGCAGAAGCCTGATAACGATCCTGATCATTTGAATCACGTGTGTTGGAAGAAGGAAACATCTAAAACTTGCAGGATTGCGGCCCTCGAGGACCAGAGTTCGAGACCCCTGCCCTACACACTATCAGGTACGTGGTTTAAGAGTTTGTGGCTGGTTGGTGTACATCTCTACTGACAGGCGGCATTAAAAGTAACCGAAATCATAATTACTCATGCCTTTAAAACAATTCTTTTCAAACTGTACTTTAAAAAGCATGTTTGATCTAATCAGGTTAACATATGAAAGGGCATTTTTGCCTAGAAATAAACTTAAATCCAGTCTCTGAAATGGTCAAATGGCTTCTGAGTATTCTCACTGATCCTTTATAGTAATAATCAGCAGTGGAACAAGATGTAAAATCAAGTTGTAATGCTCGACATAGACAGAAAATACTTACTGAGTTCAGAACCAGAATAGTAGGGGCCACCTCATATTCCCATAAATGACAACTTCATCATTAGCTTATTTAAGACAAGTGAGCTACTGGATGAAAGAAATGAGGATGAGAAGGGCCAGGATTCAAGAAAATGAATGAAAGAAAGAAGAAAGATGGAGAAGTAAACAAAGTGCTTATGTCTGGACTAACAGCTTCTCCTCTGAACAGTTTTGTAAAATCAGCATTACTCACATTTGCTAATGTTTCCCACATGCATGACAGCCGTATTGTGCTGTCACTCCCAAACTTGATCCTCTAACTTCTGTATGACCCTGAACATTTACATTTTCCCTTGACGTGTCCGTTTTTGTTCATGGCAAAACGCCTGTTATTAAAAGTACCACTTAAATGCATTTATTTGCATATGTACTGGTGGCTCAGAAACATTGCAGCAAAGTTTATGTTTGTGAAAGAAATATGAAAATGACCTCAAATTTGGTGTGGAACCACTTCACACAGACTTAACAGACCCACACAGTGAAGCGTAAGCAAAACAGAGGCAATGTGAGATACAGAGGAAGAAACTGAGACTTTGCTATGTGGAAAGAATTCTGCTTCTCTCCCATCTATAAACATTTAGTGCGCTTTAAAGATAAACACTTGGAGTTGCTCAGAAACAGAGCTGGATTTGGTCTGCAGACAGCAACATCACCTCTTAACCAACTAGTGCAGCGTCCATCACAATGTCAGCCCTTCAAAAGGGTCAAATTCTTCACGTTGACCTCTATGGAAAAACTAATAAGTTGATTGTATCACTTGTTTTGTTTTTTTCTCACGCATATAGCTCAGAATAACTTATAGATGAGCCATGTTGGATGTCATAGTTTTTTAAGATGCAAAAATACGCTACACATTTTTCTAGCAATTACCAATGAATTTGTATCATAATGATGTTTTACCAGCAGACTATCCTTATGAAAAAAACTGGTTTCAAATCACAAACCACAATAATGCCTTACCTCCTTTGTGTTTAATGGCAACAACACCTGATCTCTTCATTTCCCCATTTTTATCTGTGCCTCCATACCCTCTTTATATAGCATAGTATTCATTCCAGGCTCCATACGGTACCAATCTGTTGCCCGTGACAGTAAAGATTTGTAGTCTTTCTGGATGAGTGCTTATATCCAGGCTATACCTGGGTATAAGACATAACAGAGCAGCATTCTAGCCATTCCTTCTCAGATATAAAGTGAACACATGTACCATAATTCAAAAACCCATATAAGCATCACACGAAACCTTAATTTATTACAGTAAAGTTTCTTGTGGGGTATAATATGGAGCTCTGTTGGTGGAGTGTTTGGTCATGATGAAAGAGTCTGGAGATAATCCCATGTTTAACTTTACAGCAACACTGGCAGTTTGGTATATATTAAAGGACTCGCTGCTTTGTAACTATGTTCCATTCTAATGGCTGTGGTGGAGCTGAAGCAGTAATACAAGCAAGTTTGCTTTTATGACCTCACGTCACCAATAATTGTTGTGCATGCAGTGCACACAAGAGCAAGGAATACAATGGTATGCTGTGCATTTGTGTCTGTGCGTGTGTGTAGCTCTTCTTGAATATAATGTGTAACTTTGCTGGTTTTGTCTATCTGTTGTGAAGGAGTCTTTAAAGGCCCCTTATCATCCTCCTTTTAACTATTGAAAGCCTCACGTTTTTCCAGATTGGGTGTTTCAGTTTTTCAGCTCAAAATACTGCAAAGATTGTAAACCATGACTGTGTAACAGGTAGTTTAACCCTCTTCAAAACGGTCTGTTTCCATTCCTGTAGCTTTAAATGCAGCTGAGATGCTGCTGTCCACACCTCCTTCAGGAAGAAATCTTGCCCTGCATCTGTGATTGACAGTGCAGAGTAAAACCATGGACTGCACAGGACTGACAGACGTTAATGAGTGCGTGATACCTGGAGTTTCTAACGCCTTTAACGTTCTTTCTCTTCATTGTACATTCTTTTAACGCATGTGGATGCTGAAGTTGTCAAACATTGCTGTAATTATAAAATAACTAGTTATAGCAGTGCAGAGCTACAGCTTGGAAAAGGCTATGACTAGACTTTGTTTAACATGCCGTAATGCTGCAAGGTGGCTTGATGGTTAGCACCGCCGCCTCACAGCTAGAAGATTCCCGGTTAGCGTCCCGATTAGGACGCCCGGGATCTTTCTGTGTGGCGTTTGTATGTTCTCCCCATGCAGCGTGGGTTCTCTCCATTCTCCCTCAACAAAACATGTTGAGGTTAATTGGTGATTCTAAATTGTCTGTAGGTGTGAAAGTGAGTGAGCTTGGTTGTTTGTCTCTCTGGGTAGCCCTGCGATAGACTGGTGATCTGTCCATGGTGTCCCCTGCCTTCGCCTTGAGTCGGCTGGGATAGACTCCAGGCCCCCGCAAACCTAGATTAAGCAGTGTATAGAGAATGGATGGAGGGATGCCATAATGGGCTTAAAGAACTCCGTCACAAGCATTTTACAAAGAAAGTTGACACATTGTAACTATTTTTTGACTGTCAAACTATTTCTGGTCATTTTTGTATAGCTTGCAGAAGTTCATACAAATTTTAATCTGCTGCTTCAAGCTATATTTGTGATAAAAAATTGCAGAATTAGAAACACAGTTTCCTTAATGGTCATTTTTTTTGCACACTATTTGCATAATCATCACAAGCAAACTCGGAATTGTTGGAATGTTATAAACACCTAAACCATCTAGAACGGACCTATGGAACCTATGGAAATTTTACTCAAAGAATAACT